GTATTTCTAGTGTGAAGTCTTTTTTAAGGAATCTCCTAAATGTTCCATGTAAATAGACTTCAAATTAGTCTATTTCACTGTAATGTTGAATAATGCTCACTATATGTTGAAGTACAATTTTTATGCTAAACTGAATTGTCTAATATGGGGATGGGAATTTTTAGCTCAGTGATAGAGCATCTGCCTAGCATTTGGGAAACCCTGGGTTCAAACCCCAGCATGTCAACCAAGAAACAAAATACCCTAATACATCAAGATCTCTTTTGTGTATTTTCTTCCCCTATCACTCTTCAAGGTAAAGCACTAATTAATTCCTAGAGCATGGTGATAAAATTCCAGGCTAACCAGATCTAAGCCCAAATCCCAGCTCAACTGTTTACTAATGGCAGTTGCCCATTTTTCTTTCTTATACTAAGGGGACTCAAGTTAACAATAAAATAGGAACAATGCATAGATACATGTAGGGTGGTAGTGATTGAGCAAATGCACATAAAGCACTAAGTACAGAAGCTATCACATATGTATGCTCCATGAATGTTATCTGCTTCTATTGATATTTTGCCTGGATTACTGCAGAATTTTCTTAAATGGTCTCCTAATCTTTACATGGAGCTTTTCCAGTCCAATTCCACATTGCTGTCAGAGTTATCTTTCTGTTAATGAGGATAGGTCTCCCGCTTGCTTAAAACCATCCATTGATCTTCATAGTTTTGTTGTAATGTTTAGACACTTTAGCTGGGGACAGAGGCCCATTGTAATCTCATTGAATTTGTCACCCATCTTTCTATGCCAAGCTTCCACAGCTCTTAGCAAATACTTAAAGGTCTCCAACAGCAATGTGCTCTTGTTTTTCCTTGACATTACAGATATTAACTATTCCTATTCATAGAACTCTGTCCTGATTTTTCTGTTTAATTTCCACCCATTCTTCAAAATCCAGTAGAAGTATCACAGCCCAAAAGAAATCTTCCAATTTGCCAAAAACTTAGTATGTTTTAGTTATAGATATTAAAGATTGG